CTATTCTATTCTATTCTATTCTATTCTATTCTATTCTATTCTATTCTATTCTACTCTACTCTACTCTACTCTACTCTACTCTACTCTACTCTACTCTTCTCTTCTCTTCTCTTCTCTTCTCTATTCCATTCCATTCCATTCCATTCCATTCCATTCCATTCTATTCTATTCTTCATTTCATTATTCTATTCTATTCTATTCTATTCTATTCTATTCTATTCTATTCTATTCTAAATCATTATCATGGCGATTAAAAATAGAGTGGTACCTCAGTACTCCTCATCAATTGATTCCAGGAAGTGTGATGAGTAAAAAAAAATGATGAGTACCAAACACATTTTTCCCATAGTGAGTCACAAGGCAGCCGACACCTACAAGCTCTAGCTTGTGCGTGACCAAACAAGTGACGAGTGCCAAGACAAAATTTTCCACATCAAAATGCGTTGAGTACCAAATTCAATGAGTTTCAAAACAGTTGGGTGCCAAGGTACCACGGTGTGGAACCTGATATCGAACAGGTATGTTATTTTAAGCTTAGTCATTGTGGAAGGGTTTATCTATTCCCAAATGCACAGCAATTAATCCTAGGTGAAAAATCCTCTTGATTGCCTCTTTCTGTCCTTGTTCCCAGGTGCACAATAAACTTTGCCCACAGATTTATATGAGAGCAGTAAGATTCTGAGAATTTTATTTACATTCCTTATCTTGTGATCCCCAATGGGAATTTTCCTTCGTTCATAGCAGTCATCTCCTGCATCAAAAGTTTCATTTAGCTATCTTTAATTTTCCCTTAGGGCCAGTTCAGACTTCAACAGCATACTTATAAAATTATTTCTTTGCTCCAATTTTTACAGTTCTGACCCTAAATCACATCTGCCTTTCAAAGACATGTGTGCTTCATTGGGGAAGATCCTTTGGAAATTTTTCATTATCTGTTTTTTGTAAGGCTACCCTGAAATATTTGATGCCATCTCCAAATCTGGTTACCTTTCTATATTATTTCTGGTCACTCTTAAAAAGCATTGAAAAGCACATTTATATCCCTTCAGAGTAAGACATATTCTTATAGAGAACATAGTCATATTCCTAAGAGATTTTGCTTTCAGTTCTTTAGACAGCAACCAATCCACAAAATGATCTGATGAACGAGGGAAAACTACGCCCTAGAAGTGTCACAGATAGAAACACTCACAAAAACTGTGTATTGCATGTTCATGCTTTACTGCCCAACATCAGGAAGAAAAGCCAGGATGTTGTTAATCTAGATAAGGTTAAAAATATGCATGAAAAAACATAGTCTGCAGTTCCTGAAATTAAAGGGACAACAAAGCTTTTTTATTGTGCACACAACAAAACTCTCAGAGTTATTATTAAAGAATACCAGAGAAACAACTTTCCATTTTTAATATTGGTTTCAGATTCTTTCAATCCGAGTTTTTAATTACCAGCCATTTTGGGGCTGGCTATTCGATTTCTCTCTTATGAAATGCTCCACTTGCAAAAACTATGGGAATGGTTGCCGCATGTAATTATGACCTGTCCTTTCTCTTTCCTACATACAGTGACAGTAAAGGCGTTTCTTTTTAATTAGCAATGTTCTGTGATTAGTGATGCTCAGATTCCATCTTATGATATAAATTGTTCTTTGTAGATACTGTATAATCCACTGAGAAGTTTCTAAAGGCTTTAAGAAATTGTTGCTTTTAAAATACAGAATAAAAAAGTTGTGGAAGCGCCATCACTTGAATCTGATAATCTGTTAGATAATCAGACATAATAAACTACCAAATAAAATAAATAACAAATTATCATTAACTTTAACATTCATCATAAAATGCCCTCCCTGATTGAATGCTGAAAGATGTATTTCAAATATCTTATTTTAACTTTGGAGATAAAATAAAAAAAATATTTAAAAGAAATTGTGTTCAATACATGGCACTTTCTGTTCACACAAGTACAGATTTAGTCTATTGAATGTGTAGCTGAGCTACACCCTACCCTAATGTCTAATACAGGTAGTTCTTGACTTACAACCATTCATTTAATGACATTACTGAAAAAGTGACTTATGACCGATTTTGTTCTGACCAAGGCTTCCAAGACCATAATTACGCACATGCTTATTTTAAAAACAAGTCTTGTTTTATTGCAACGCTGGGAATTATTTTTATTCCCAACTGGTAATGAATCTCAAATAGTTCCTTGAGATAAGCACCCACCTTTGTTTGTTGTGAAGTGCTACCAATAACAGAAGTGTCAAATAAACTAGAACAAAAACCAACCAAAGTACAAAGAGCTTCAAGAATGAGTCTGAACCAAACAAACGACTTTGCTTCCTGCAAAAGTATCATCACTTTGGCCTGTCCCTTATACCTTATGGGCAATCACCTCCCAGCCTTACCCTCCGAGTCGCTCCTTTTGTCTTAGCTGCTCTTGCCTTCTGGCATCTCTGTGCACTGGCAACAGGCTCCCCTGGGTCCTCTGCCTCGCTGCTGCCAGACTCCGGAGGCTCCAGAGTCAGCACCCCACTCCCAGATGGTCCTGGCCCCATCTCTGCATCGGACGCAGGACCCTCATCCAAGTCCTCTCCAGACTCCCTGACTGGTCTCCGTTCTTCCCCACTGTCCGATTCTGCCTCCGTACGAGGCTGCCGGCAAACCACAACAGGTTTTTGCACTTACAACCATGGTGGCATCCCTGTGGTCACATGATCAAAATTCAGATGCTTGGCAAGTGACTCATATTTATGACAGTTGCAGGGTCCAGGAGTCATGTGATAACTTTTCGCAACCTTCTGATGAGCAAAGTTAATGGAGAAACCAGATGAATTTAACAACCATGTTACTGACTTATCAATTGCAGTGACTCACTTAACAACTGTGATAGGAAAAGTCATAAAATGGGGCAAAGCTCACTTAACAAATGTTTCCCATAGCGACAGAAATGTTGGGCTCAATTGTGGTCGTAAGTTGGGGACTGCCTCTGTATGCTCCTGCCACTGAATGTTGCATGGGATCTGGGAAACTGACTTTATTGATAAGCTCCAAATGAAGTCAAGACCATTACATCGAAAAACATATACAGGTGGTTCTCAAATGATAGAATAGAATAGAATTCTTTATTGGCCAAGTGTGATTGGACACACCAATTTGTCTTGGTGCAAATGCTCTCAGTGTACATAAAAGAAAAGATTCATTCATCAAGAGTCAAGAATCATAAAGTACGACAATGACAGTCATAGGGTACAATAAGCAATCAAATCATACTAGGAAACAGTCAATATAGATCATAAGGATACAAGCGACAAAGTTACAGTCATACAGTCACAAGTGGGAGGGGATGGGTGATAAGGAATGATGAGAAGATTAATAGTAATAGTGGTGCAGACTTTGTAAATAGTTGGACAGTGTTGAGGGAATTAGTTGTTTAGCAGAGTGATGGCTTTCGGGAAAAACCTGTCCTTGTGTCTAGTTGTTCTGGTGTGCAGTGCTCTGTAGCGTCGTTTTGAGGGAAGGAGTTGAAACAGTTTATGTCCGGGATGTGAGGGGTCTGTAAATATTTTCACAGCCCTCTTTTTGACTCGTGCAGTATACAGGTCCTCGATGGATGGAAGGCAGGTTGGTAGTAATTGTTTTTTCTGCAGTCCTAATTACTCTCTGAAGTCTGTGTCTGTCCTGTTGGGTTGCAGAACCAAACCAGACAGTTATAGAGGTGCAGATGACCACAGCGGGGGTCAGGATTTCAGTCACTAAGTGATGCGGTCATTAAGTGAGTTATCATGTGACCAGGCCTAATTTTTATGATCATGTTTACCCTGGAGGTGATGCAATGGTCATAACTTCAAGGATAAGTCATACGTCACTTTTCATAAATTTGAACCATCATTAAACGAATGCACATCAGTTGAAGTTTACCTGCATACGTACATACATATACAATCATGTATACACCATTTGAGATGAAGAATATTATGAGAAACTCAGAGCCGGTAACAAAGTCATGCAATCAGAAAAACCAAGAGGAAATACAGCTAAAACTAATTTACCTTATTCACTACTCTTCCCCATATCTTTCTATTCTTTGGGACTACCCTTTCTTCCACCGTGTCTGTATCAGTGGTGGGATTCAAAAAAATTTTTTACTGCCGGTTCTGTGGGTGTGGCTTGGTGGGCGTGGCAGGGGAAAGATACTGCAAAATCCCCATTCCCTCCCCACCCCACTAGCCTGCTTTCCAGCTCCGTTCTCCTGTGCAGGGCAACCAAAGAAGACCCAGCCAATCAGCTGGGACTCGGGAGGCAGAGAAGAGATGGGGGCGGGGCCAGTCAGAGGTGGGATTTGCTGGTTCTCCAAACTACTCAAAATATCCGCTGCCTGTTCTCCAGAACTGGTCAGAACCTGCTGAATACCCACCTCTGGTCTACATGCCAATCCGTGCACTAACTTTTGCTCTTTACACCTCTCCCCTCTCCCCTTTTGAAGGTCTGCATCAATTCTGCCTAACTAGAACTTTCTGAGTCTTCCATTTTATTCACCATCCCTGTGAATGTTTGAGCCTTAGAATATAAAGTCTATTATAATTTCAGCTTCTTCTCCACTTACTTGAACTGGAATGGCATTGCCTGTTGGCATAATCTTGGTTGTTGTTTTTTTTAAAAAAATAGCCAACTAAATTTTGCTCTTTCTTTTTTTAAACCTATAAATGACATTCCACAAGATTTCTCATTCTTCACTTCCAGCCATCAAAGTGGTTATCATCAGTATAACTGAGATTGATCTCTAACACACCATTTTTACTTCCCACATCTCCTAGTTCGGCATTTCTCATACTATATTCAACATGTAAATTTAATTAATAAATTAAATTAAGGGAAGAACACTGGGATCCTTTCCCAAACATTAAATATTTACGGTGGTTGTTCAATATTCTGTCCTAAATGTTGCTTCCAGATCACATTATTTTCAACGGTCAACTCATACAGCCTGATACAACGATATCTTTAAGGGTTGTCCACAATTTGTTCTTGTCAAAGTGCGCGATCACCGGTTGTTACACCAGCAGCATCTCACCACTGTCTCTAAATCAGAAAATGCTGTCAGATTAAATTTATGTTCAAGAACTCTCCACTGTTTTATCTTTGATTTTGATTATTGTCCTGGTTCAAACCAGATGGGCCCCTGACTTTCAGATTCCAGTTATGTTACTTCTTGGGATGTTAACTGCCAGGGCATCCTGACAAGATTTTAATTAGTCACCAATTTAATTTGTCACCAGCTTCACTTCAGCACAATCCTGGAATGCCATGATGCAAGATGAAACCCAAGGCAAATACACAGCACTTTCTCAGTGCATAAATATTACAGGCAGAGGGCTTCTCCCTAACATTTAACCAAATGAGTTTTTTCCCTAACAAGTTCTCATTTCTAAGTTCTAATAAGGCACTGAACCAACTGGCTATTTTCTTATCTGCTACACTCCCACCCAAACACCCAGAGCATTATTTTTAATTAAAAAGGTTTTGCGTATAAGGAGGAAGAAAAAACATAATTGAGCAAATTACAGTCTGGTCTAAGCTTAGTACACAAAATTGTCTGCTACAACGTCCTACCTGTCAATGACTACTTCAGCTTCAACTGTAATAATACACAGGCAAACAATAGATACAAGCTCAAAGTAAACCGTTCCAAACTTGATGGCAGAAAATATGACTTCAGCAACAGAGTGGTCAATGCCTGGAACTCACTACCTGATTCTGTTGTCACCTGCTCAAACCCCCAAAACTTTAACCTTAGACTGTCTACCGTGAACCTCACTCCATTCCTAAGAGGTCTGTAAGGGGGTGTGCATAAGTGCACCAGTGTGCCTACCGTCCCTGTCCTACTGTTCCCATTTATCCATTTATTCGTACTCATTTATTATATATATATATATATATACTTATACCTGTTTATACTTATATGTTTATATGTTATGTTCATACTTATACTTGTTTTCTCATACAAGCTTGACAAACAAAATAAATAAAATAAACAATTGCCTGCCAATAAACATTTCTTCCAAAATGATAGACAGATCCAAACGAATGCAAAAGGACTTTCTACACATGCTGTACATACTACAAAAGAGATCCAACCCTGATTGCACAAAAATAATTTTCTTCTATAAACAAAGAGAGCAAGTTGCATGGCCCACAAAGCAAATTGTCTAAACTAAAGTCTTTTTCTTTAGTTTTCAAGTTTCCTTTAATGAACTGAAAAGAGACATTGTATTACATGGGTCTATCATTTTCAAATATACACAGCCATATTAAGTAAGACACAAAGGAGTAGACGGGATACTTCAGCAACCAACCAAAAGCATTGTTCAGGCAGGCTGTATTTGAGATTTTGGAGCAGGAATTTGGGAGGGGTTTCCAACTCTCCCTTTCTTGGATTGAACTGAGATCCAACTTTGGCATGTTCTTATCCTGTGCTCGTGTGGGACTACCATATCTGACCTACAAAAATCTGGATGTGCATTAAAATTTAGAATTCTATCCATCTCCTTACTGCCATCTCATGGATGTCTGGATTTCCACTGTGGTCTAGTTATGGTGGCCCTCTAGTGAGACGGCCTTTCTGAGAAACAAAGATGACACTACTTTTGAGTCTACACATTCTCATGTTTCCATCAGGCCATGGTTTTGAACAACTCTCCTACAGCAGAGTAAGAAGCTCTTCAGGCTTAGAGAGAATAAAATTTGATTTCCAAGAATCTGTAAGTGGCATGGTTCATACAAGCAATCAATAATATAGCAATACCACTTAGCAATAGCACTTAGACTTACTTATACACACTTCACAGACCTCTCTAAGCAGTTTACAGAGTCAGCATATTCCCCCCAATAATCTGGGTCATCATTTTACCCACCTCAGAAGGATGGAAAGCTGAGTCAACCTGGAGCTGGTAAGTTTCGAACTTCCAAATTGCAGACAGCTGGCAGTCAGCAGAAGTAGCCTGCAGTACTGCACTCTAACCACCGAGCCACAGCAGCTCTTGTATATTATATTATAAGAGGAACTGTATATATCAGTGATGGCGAATCTTTTTGTTGTGGTGTGCCAAAAGCGTGCACGTGCCGGCACCCACGATGCAATGCGCCCTGCCCCTCCTGCACATGCGTGTGAAACCTTCCATCCCCTTACCTGCACTGCACATGTGAGCGCCACCCAGCTGGTTTTCAGCCTGTTTGAGGCTTTTTCACCCTCCTGGCAGCTCGAGGGAAGCCTCTGCAGCCTCGGGAAGCTGAAAAATGGGCCTTCCGGAAAGACCAGAAGTGCCTGTTTTCAGCCTCCGGAGGGCGTCTGGAGCCTGGGGGAGGCAGTTTTCACCCTCCCAGGGGTTCGAGGGAAGCCTCTGGAGGGTGAAAAACAGGCCCGTTTCGGCCCTTCCAGTATTTCCAGAAGGCCCGTTTTTCGGCCTCTCTCGAGCCTCTGGGAGGGTAAAAAAGGCCTCAAACGGGCTGAAAATCAGCTGGGAAGTGCGTGCATGTGCAGTGCAGTGCAGGTAAGTTTGGCTGGGGCTTGCATGCCCGCACAAATGGCTCTGCGTGCCACCTGTGGCACACCTGCCATAGGTTCGCCATCACAGGTATATATGAAATGCCTGCAAAAGCCCACTCAGTCACAGTTATCAATCTCTTTGAAATGCAAAGTTATTCAAACTAAGATTTATAAAAATACCATACAAACAAATACTAAAGGCAATAGCAAAAATACATAATTGAAATTCAGTTTCCTACCTCGGGACGACCTTCGTAGTAGGCTAACATGGATTTTGTGAGCACAAAAAGCCTCTCTTTATAATTTAAAGGCGATGTCCTTTTCTTTTGTTGAGACCTTTTAATCAGAATCTCTTCTAGGATAGCATTCATATTCATTTCAACCCCTTCCTCGTTTTTTCTCCGGCCATTGAAGATCCAACTCTGTAAAAGAAGCAGCAGCAGCAACCCTTAAACTCCTTTTTTTTTTTTTTTTCAGCGACACAAACGCACACTGAGAAACAGAAAGCAACAACTGATCAGGACACTTTCATTGCTCCAGGTGGAAGGAAGTTAAATATTAGACAGAAAAGTCCACATTTTGCTTCACCAAGGACTGCAATAAATTTACATAGCTAATTGGAGCCCAGGACTCAGCTGGCATGACACACAATGATTTTCATATAGTTTACAACTTGAATATGAAATTCATGTTAAGCAATGTAGAACAGAGGTCTACTTATTTTTAAATTTGATATGGCCACCCAGGTAACGTATGAAATCCGACTGACAAACAACAATCATCAAAAGCAATACAGCAGTACAATAAAATCTCCTATCAGCCAAATACAAAACATCATTAAAATTAAATACCTGTAGCCCTCGAGTTATGACCACAGTGGAGCCCAAAATGTACGTTGCTAAGTGAGAAAGGGGTTACATCAGTTTGCCTCATTTTATGACTTTCCTTCCCACTACTGTTACGTGAATCATTTCATTTATTAAAATTTTAACATGGTGGTTAAGTGAACCTGGATTTCCCCTTCGACTTTGCTTGTCGGAAGTTCACAAAAGGTGATGACCTTGAATACAAATAAATAAATAAATATGAACCACTTGCCAAGCATCTGAATTTCAATCACGTGACCACGGGAATGTTGCAATGGTCATAAGGGGTGAAAAACAGTCATAGCTCACTTTTTTCAGCACCATTGAAACTTTAAACATTCACTAAATGAATTGTTGTACGACTACCTGACTATAATAACCAAGGCATTGTATGACAAACTCACTAACACAAAGTTTATACTTACGCTTGAGCTCAGCTATCATCCCAGCTCGATACTTGAGGGAAAGCCAGATCCTCACAGCCTTCTGGGTGGCTGAGAGGATTATGGCGTCTGTAGCTCAAAGGGGAAGTTGTTCCATAGGGCAGCCACTGCAATGGAGAAGGCATGGCGCCAGAGGTGGGTATTCAGCAGGTTCTGACAAGTTCTGGAGAACCGTAGCCGAAATTTTGAGTAGTTCGGAGAACCGGCAAATACCACCTCTGACTGGCTCTGCCCCCATCTATTCCCCGCCTCCCGAGTCCCAGCTGATTGGCTGGGTCTTCTTTGGTTGCCCTGCACAGGAGAATGGAGCTGGAAAGCAGGTTAGAAGGGTGGGGAGGGAATGGAGATGTTACAGTATCCTTCCCCCAAGAGTGGGAAGGGAATGGATATTCTGCAATATCCTGCCAAGCCCCCAAGCCACGCCCACAAAACTAGACACAAGAACAGATTTTTCCCGAACGCCATCACCCTGCTAAACAAATAATTCCCTCAACGCTGTCCAACTCCTTACAAAGTTTGCATTACTATTACTATTAATTCCCCCATCCTTCCTTTCACCCATATCCTCCCACTTATGACTGTATGACTGTAACTTTTTTGCTTGTATCCTTACAATTTTTTTTAAATTGACTGTTTCCTAGTATGATTTGATTGCTTATTGTACCCTATGACTATCATTAAGTGTTGTACCTGATGATTCTTGACTCTTGACAAATGTATCTTTTCTTTTATGTACACTGAGAGCAATTTGCACCAAGACAAATTCCTCGTGTGTCCAATCACACTTGGACAATAAAGAATTCTATTCTATTCTATTCTATTCTATTCTATTCTATTCTATTCTATTCTATTCTATTTCTATTCTATTCAGCCCAACTTTCTGTTGCTAAGAGAAACATTTCTTAAATGAATTTTGTCCCATTCTACAACCTTCCTTGACACCGTTGTTAAGTGAATCACTGCAGTTGTTGAATTAGTAACACAGTTTAAGTGAATCTGGCTTCCCCATTGACTTTGCTTGTCAGAAGGTGGCAGAAAGTGATCACATGACCCTGGGACCCTCATAAATGTGAATCAGTCCCCAAGTGTTTGAATTTTGATCACACGACCATGGGAATGCGACAATGGTTGTAAGTGTGAAAAATGGTCCTGTCGCTATTTTTAGTGCCTTTGTAACTCTGAACGATCACTAAATGAACTTTGTAAGTCAAGAACTACCTGAATAGTATAATGCCTTTAGTGTACGTTTGTCCTGAAAACCTCCTAGACTAGAAGTCATTACTCATTCAAACCATCCAATAAAAGCAATGGCTTTTGGTGCTTCAAAATAGGATCCCTCCCAAATCTCCATGATGCTCAGTTTGACCAGCCGTTTTTTAGCCAGTCTGACTAGTTGAGACATTGAGGTTTTGTAACTAACACCCATGTTCGTGGGAGTTTTAAATATTCAGCTTTAATGGCTCCAGGTTGCCTCTGCTTAATTTTCAGAATAATACTAGGACCCCTTAGGCCAGTGGTGGCTAACCTTTTTGGGCTCCTGTGCCAAAAATTGTGTGCGTGCTTGCATGCTCGCGTGCCAGCACCCAGAAGGCAATGCACGCCCCCCCAATACCCCCAAGCATGGACACGCAATCCCCACCCACCCACGCTGCCCCTTTACCTGCACTGCGCCTCACAGCTGATTTTCGGCCTGTTTGAGGCCTTTTTCGGCCTCCCAAAGGCTTGAGGAAGACTTCTGCAGGCTTCTGCAGGCTGAAAACTAGCCCTGTTTTGTCACTTCCGGTATTTTCGGAAAATCAGGAAGTGACAAAACGGGGCTAGTTTTCGGCCTGAAAAGCCTGAAGAAGCCTCTAGAAGCTTTCCTCAAGTCTTTGGGAGGCCAAAAAAGACCTCAAACTGACTGAAAATCAGCTGTGAGGCGCACGCATGCACCGTGAGGTAAGTTTGCATGCAGCTCGCATGCTGGCACAAATAGCTCTCTGCGCCACATGTGGCATGCATGCCATAGGTTCACTATCACGACCTTAGGCAATTGGAGGGGGGGAGAATGAAAGGGGGGGGAAATTGGGGGGGGGGAATTGTGGAAAAAAATGAAATGAAGGAGGAAAAATTATTATTTCAGTCAGTTTAGGCATCATCCAACTCCAAAATGGGTGGTTCACAATATAATAAACCATACAACACAATACAGATAGTCTTCAACTTACAACAGTTTGTTTAGCAACCATGCAAAATTACAACGGCACTGAAAAAGGTAACTTATGAATGTGTTTCACATTTATGACCGTTGCAACATCCTCATGGTCACATGATCAAAATTCAGATGCTTGGCAACTGACTCATATTTATGATGGTTGCGGTGTCCCAGAGTCCAGATTGACTTAACAACTATATTTCTAACTTAACAACTGCAGTGATTCAATTATCATCAGTGGTAAGAAAACTCGTAAAATGAGGCAAAACTCACTTAATTTCTCACTTAGCAACAGAAGTTTTGGACTCAATAGTGGTTGTAAGTTGAGGACTCCCTGTAGCAATCACTCTACACCAGAGGTGTCAAACTGGAGGCCCGTGGATCAGATGCATCACACCAGTAGTGGGATTCAAAAAAATTTACTACTGGTTCTGTGGGCGTGGCTTGGTAGGTGTGGTTTGGCTTGGCTTGATGGGCATGGCTTGGTGGGCGTGGCAGGGGAAGGATACTGCACAATCCCCATTCCCTCCCCACCCCACTAACCTGCTTTCCAGCTCCGTTCTCCTGTGCAGGGTAACCAAAGAAGACCCAGCCAATCAGACTCGGGAGGCGGAGAATAGATGGGGGCGAGGCCAGTCAGAGGTGGTATTTGCCGGTTCTCCAAACTACTCAAAATTTCTACTACCGGTTCTCCAGAACGGGTCAGAACCTGCTGAATACCCACCTCTGCATCACACACAGTCCATGCTCACCCCAGCTCCGCGAAGGGGGAAAACATAGCGAAACGTCACATGACGGCAACATGAGGCGGTGAGTTAGGCACCCGTGCTCTACACAAAAACATACATCCAACAAGAGCTCCATCCATCTCAGTCCAAAGTTTGAGAACACAACCAACGTCTTATGGAATATGAGAGACCAGAAATGAAGACCTCACTCTTTTTTGAATAAATGCTGCCACGGTGTTCCACACAATCAGGAATAAAGCCACGTGGTTTTCTGATCCCCTACAGGCCATCCTTGCATTCAACATGAAATCTAAAGTATAACCATATAATAGCAAGGCATCAAAATCATGTATAATGTGTTGTCCTTTATGTTGTAACGCGACTATCAACATTAGGTTATTCCTAAGCAGAAAGCTGAAATGTCAGGGGAATAAGTTGATTTTAAAAGTCTGGAAACAGGGTTTTTTGCATTATATTTCTCATTCAGACGGACAACGTGAGAACTTGTCAGCATTTCATTCTGAAAGAAAGTGGAGGGAGAGAGAGAGACATTGAAGAGGCATTTGAAACTCTTCAATAATTCTCGTGGTATTTTAATGTTTCGAAAAGGCAACATGAAACGCAGCCCTTAAAACTATAAAGCTCTCTTTTCAAACACAGGCTAACAATTTCAGATTTGGAGAAAACAAACTCGTCAGCCAAAAAATGCTGACTGAATGCAAGCCACCCACGTTTACAAGTATGATTTATATAGTTACTTGAGATAAAAACCAGTCACTCTACTTCCATTAACCTGTTTCATTTAGAAGTACATTATGAATGTAAAGTTATCTGTAGGTCTCCAATCTGACTTTAAGACTGGCCTCAAGACTCTTTCATTTTCCAAATGGGGAAACTGGGAAGTTGAGTAAATTGGGTGATTCAGTGGTAAAATTAATCTTGACCTCAAAATCAGATCCCTTGCCTCCAACACATAACACTAGCCAATGGAAAAATGCCGGAAACTTGTGACAATCTTCCTTGTGAACAGAAAATAAATCATGTATCAAACACTAAGAATGGTTGTGTTCCATCCAATTTAGTGTAAAAAAAACAACACATTTAAGCAATTACAAGTTATATATATTATAGGCAGGTCTGATTACTTGTAATCAAGTGGTTTTGGACTATGGTCAACTATTAGAAGATCTG